GGGGGGGCGGGAAGGACACCACGACGACGACGACGACAACGACAACGACGGACCTGGTCCTTCCCTCCATGGCAGCAGCACCCCTCAGGGCTGCCTGTGGGGTGCTACCCCAGCTTGGATGCAGCACCTGGCCCAATCCAACTGTTCCTTGAGCCCGCTTGCTGGAAGCCCACCATGCACTGCTCCCCAGGCAGGCTTGGGGAACAGTTGGATAAAGTCAGGTGCCGCCTCCAAGCTGGGACAGCACCCAGCCCACTAGCATCCTGCCCAGGAAGCTCCAGGGGGTGCCGCCACCATGGAGGGAAGGACCAGGGACCCCAACAGCTCAGGGGCTGCTTGGCCTGCCAGCAGCTTGCACCCCTCCCCCACAACAGTAGGGAGGCTCCAGCAAAAAAAGGATGGGGCCCCCTTGCCATAACATGATGGAAAAATTGAAATGGTGGGTTTCAATTAAAAACTCACCATTTCAATTTAGGGGACAGAGAATAAAACCCTGAGGGCTAACCCTGTCATGTGTACAAGCGCCTCTATACAGTCCATCTCCACCGGAGGGAAGAGCAATAGGATTCTGAAGTGGGCTAAGTCCGAGGGGACAGCCTACACTGAGTTTTAATTAGATGGTGAGAACCCTGAAATTCCACGATGAATCTATTGAAATACCAAGTAACTATAACTGATTGGGTGCATGTGGTTGGGAATAAAACACTTCTCTCCCACTGTTAAAGTTCTGGCCTTGCTGCTTAAATCCATTCCTGTGTTTGTCTTTCATTTACCTGTATATCCTGTTCAACACTACCAGGTTAAATGGTTCAGATTAACTTACTGTACATCAGACAGGCACAACAGGGTGTTTGTTTAATATTAACCTGCCTCTCTGATATATAAAAATTTACCTTACACTTGAAAAGACAGTACCCTGCATGATAATACATCTTAATCTTTATGTAAGCTTATTGGCCAGAATACTGAAGGATAGATTTTGCCAAACACACTCAAATAGCAGAGATGTTCAACTTAAAACCCTGCCCCTCTCCAAGTTTCAAATTTATCTCAACATTGCCCACATTTAAAGGCATCTCACAACACTCAAATTTGATTTTCAACAAAGATTTAAAAGATGTTTAAAAGTTAATTTTTTTTTTACTTTAATTAAAAAACATAATTTATGGCTTCAGAAAGAGCTTGGCAAATTACATACTTACTTATCAAAGCTATCACTATATTTTATGAAGCTCTCCAATTTTTCCTTGGCATATTCTACCACATCTGAATGAAGCTCTATTCCATGATTTATTCCAAAAGGGCCTGTAAACAAAAACAGCAGACATTTGCTTCATTAGCACAAAATTATTCCTTGCACTCTTATACTTTTCAACTATACCTTTCAAATATAATCATATTTTAGTTCTTGAATAGACATTCAAATTCAGCCTGCCAACATCCCTGCAAAAAAAGGATATATTTTTTAAACTCACTCTCAGATCATTAAAACAAACAAAAGCAAATAAGGATTTATCAATTCAGTGAGAAATCCAAGAATAAACCAAAATGTCCTAGGACCCCATCCTTCTTATAACATTAGCATTTTTTCCCCACACAGTTGTGTGGTCAAATACAATGTTCCTATTACATTCATAAGCAAAAGAGCATAAATCAGTAAAGAGAATTTCGCCTTATCAATAAGTCTCTAGACTTAACTTTTAGAGAGCAATTAGGAATGGGGATGAAATGCATGTTATGACTGTAGGAAGATTTACCATAGAAGTTTCACATCATTTTATATTAAAATATAACTGCCTTAGACTGATGAAGACGACTGTACAGTGTCCCACAAATGTACCATTCAATTTATGCAATTTACACTAACTGGAAGAGAATAAGGTTATACTGTACAATTTAAATATTTTTGTGTGTCTGAATCTGTCCATACTGTCCCCGCGGACCGGTCCCCCTCATTTCTAACCCAGATTTAGCCTACCCTCTCATTTAGAAAGAGATAAGCTAAACATTTAAAAAAAATTAAAAGGCTACATTTTTCTACATTTGTAGAAAAAGAATTAAACCCAACTAAGGGCGAGTCAAAAGCGACAGTAACACTGGGGTTAAACAGTTACGCAGGTGCTCTAATTCAGGTAGCCAGGAATTATTTATACAATAGTCAACCATAGCACAGAATTTTAACAGAGGTGCACTGATGCATCAGTCCGATATCAGATTGGCACCGATATAAAGAAAATAATTTGTATGGGAAATCAGCCTGATATGGCTAATAATTTGGCCGCTAAATGGCCCATGCATGCACAGAGCTGCAGCACAGCATGTAGGTGGCGAGGAGCACTGCCCAGCAGCTTGGAGAACTGCATGCAGCTAGCAAGTCTGGTGTGGTGGAAGGGGAGCGGGGAGGGAAGAGGCATGGGGGGCAAATCAAGGCCCCCTGCAATGAGAGAGGGAGTGGACTGGGGCAGGGGCTGGTGCGAGATGGAGCTGCAGCTCATCTGGGGGGCACGGTAAGGTGGGGCTGGCTCCTGCCATTGCACACCGCTTGTCTGGGAGCCACTCATCTGACTGCTCATGCCGCTTGTCCAGGAGGGTATGTGGGGGGAAAGTGTGTGCCGCCAGATTTGTGTGGGGCAAGGCTGGGAGTAGG